GGGGGGGGGGGGGGGGGGGGGGGGGGGGGGGGAGAGGACGATAGGAAGCAAGAACAGTGTAAGAAAAGGAGGCGAGAGTGAGATAAGACATTTCGGTCCATTAAGTCATATACGTCTTAACCCGACACTGCGCGACTGGCATAAGTCAATATATGTGAATTAATAGTTCCTATTGAATTTTTTCTTTTGTTTTTCATTTAGTTAATAATTTATGTTATTGAAGTACCGCTTTATCTCTGTGCTGATTAACAGATTTTTTTCCGTTGTCAAAAGTTATCTAGATTTTAATGTTAGTGAAAAACGAAGGTATTCGCAAATGGCTTGCTTAATAGCACTTTATATAAGCAAATATCTACTGACAGAGCTGTTGGTGGTTTTTTTTTTCAACGGTTGCTTGAAAACAAGCTGAAAACAGTAGGTTTTGTGAGTTTATGTTGTGCGTAATGCTAGCGAAGTAAGGGGGGAGAGGGAGGGGGGTCAGTATTGTCAAGTGCCTAAAGTTATGCCGAATTTTCTTCCGTTGAGTATAGGTATCGGGTTTATTGAGGGTTTTTTTAGAGATCAGAAGGTATGTTTGGAATGCCACCATCAGCACTGGTTTCTTCTGAGTTGGATTCGGGCGAAAAAACAAAAAAGAAGAAAGACAGGGATCGAACGAAAGAGAAAAAGGAGAGACGCCGTGAACGCGAAAAGCAAAAGGTCGACCATTTTGTTTTACTTTTTTTTAGCAGCGAATTCAAAAAATGCCTTATAGAACGTTGAAAGGTAGGGGAGCTTCATCATCGTCCAGTAATAAACGGAGGAAATTTATTTGATCGATATACAGCCAAATTTAGGAGTGTAATTTGAATATTTTATGAAGTTATGAAAAAGATTGTAACTAAAAGAGAAGTAATAATTAAAAGGAAATAAAAACTGAATTGGAATATTTCGGTCCATTAAGTCGCATACATTCCTGTTCAGTGCTACAACTGGACCTCGTCAGTGTGACAGATGCAGCAGAAGAAGTATTAGAAACATGCAGTATGATGCAATGTTTAAGAGAGGAAAGAAAAATAGAATTAAAAAAAAAGTAAAAAATTGAACGTTAGGTTGAAAAATTATTTTAAAAAACTACTTATAATATAGTTATGGGCATCACTGGACGAGTGCAAGGGTTTTTGGAACATACTGTTTAGGATGTAGCTAAATATCGATAAAAATAACAGAGTTGAAGCGACCGTGAAAATGTCTTTTTAACAGATTGCGCCATAATCTTTGATCATCTTAGACTGATTTTTTTTTCTGATTTTTTATAACCTGAAATGAAGCTATACAGACAAAGCAAAGAGTTCGTGATTCCTAGAACTCTGTTTCGAGAAGTGCATATTTACAGCAGTTTGAGTAATCCAGAATATGCAAATTCCTTTAAGAGCCAGTGTATTCTCGCACCTAAGTGAAAATTTGCATTACAGGAGGCGCAGGCTCATCCAGTTGGAGCTGTCGCGGACATGTCGATAAAGACCGATGCAGCACTTTTGTCAGCCGTAGATAGTACTAGTCAAGGTAAGGCAATGCTT